ACTCACTTAGTGCATGCTCTATCGCCAATAGTTTGACACAATGAACGATAAAAGGCGACGGACGAACTAACTCTGGCAATCGTCCTAAGATCAATAACGAAAGAAAATTTGAGGTCGAGATAATGAGTTGAATTGTATGAGAAGTAGAACTATAAATAGGAAGATGTCGAGTTTATGCTAAGGCATCAGTCGATACGCGTGTAGTACGAACACAAGGTCAATTTTATCACCGCTTGATGTAGACCTATTTACAGTATTACGGAATCATTTTTTGCGCATGCGGTAGTTAAAGTATGAGGCAAAAAATAAAAAAGTACCCTCGACCTATTTCACTGTATTTAACGAGTCCTGTTGTTGGACTGTTACGTAAATTTATACAAATCTAAAGAGTTAATAAACTTTTGTCTTAGTAGAACATAAATTTTATTTCGATTTCACATCTGACTTTGTATAAATATGAGAAACTTACTTCTCTAAAGGAGATCTTACTCAAATTCTTACTAAATCAGATAGTTCGAAAAAAATTGACTCGTAAAGTTAAGGATCGTTTTAAATTTCATATTCAAACGAGTACGAATTTTGGAAAAAAACACTTTCTCCAAAGATGTGTTGCCAATTTTTTTTTAGTTTTTTAAGAGTTAGATTATATTTGAATAGGAAAAGTTTTAACAATCCACCCTTTCTTTGAACACTTATTTGAATGGAGGATTTAGTTTTAGTCTTATAAGACTTTTGAGTGAGATGTAATATGAAGGATTATTCTTCATACACTTGTAGTTAAATTTATAGGAATTGGTCTTTGCTGTATTACAGGTTCTTTTGGACATTTCGATTCAAGATTTGACTAGTTCCAGTCGAACCCTACAAGGATCCTTTGCTGATACCTTTTGATAATAGGTCGATTACTGATTCGTCAGTTTACGACTCAACTCTAACTCATTATCGTCACTCAACCTAAAGACCTTAGCCTTTGTCGGTTGAATTGTTTCTTTGGGTTTTACCTGGAATTTTACTAAATGGTCACTTAAAAAATGACCGAGCATTTTATTTTGAAAGGTTGGTCAAAGGTTGAGGCTTGTGTCGATAAGGCAAGGGGTATGAGTGCAGAGAGTGGTTAAAGTTTACCCCATGTAGTACGTGGTGTGTTGATGTTAAATCCTTTATGTGATTGCAAGTATATTGTCTGAGTGGAGGTTCAAATTTGACTTTGTTTGCGATCATAAGTAAATTTTAAAGAGAGTCACATTTTGATTGTGAGAGTGTTCACCACGTGTTTTATAACCCTTCTTAATTATATGGTGCACATTCGCGCGGTCCATAATGACCGTACGTGTTGGTGAAGTAGACTTTGAGTGTTCACCATATCAAGAGAAAAGGGGGATTCCGTAGTTGCTGTTAAAATCGAACCCCTTGACCTCTTTCCAAACCCTAAATGATGGAACCCGACTTTGAGTGTTAGGGGTGTTCAACCGCTACAAAGGGCCGAGGCCCGCCTACCGCTCATCTGCGCAAGGTTCATAAGAGGGTAGGACTCACAACCGCTTTAGCGATTGTCTAGCGTCAAGAAATTAACTGCTCGAGACGCGTGTTAGCCAACACTTGAGTGTCGAAAATGACCCTCAAAATCATTGAGGGCCGGATGATTATGGGTACTACATAGTACGCCATCACTGCGAGTGCTTACGTATTCATGCATGGCTAGTCGATATGACAAAGCCTGCGCCCTCGCGATGCTTATTTGAGTCTCACGTGTGATGCTTAATTGTTTCTTATATTATAAAAGTTATGGTCTGATACAAAAAGGGACTAGGCGCGTTCTGTGTGACATGATTTTTGTTTTGGCATGGTGTAACGCGTGGTTAGATAGAGCGTCATAGTCGACTGACGCCGAGTTGCGCTTGGGATGATATCATCCCCCATAGCGACGACTCACGTATAGCTCTGATTAAGGCGTACGACCGCTTGTACCCCCTATGCTACAACATATGAGAAACGTCTTCGTCTGAGCCACCTCTGCGATTACAACAAAGCAACTTTCGCACGTGGTTCGGTAGCTCGACGGGGATACGTCTGTCCAAGAGTGGTGACAACCCCTTGGGCAGAGGTAAGTTGTACCTCGCTTGACCCTATCTTGTCATACGGGTTCGAGAGAGGGATGGCTGGCTCAGTCGAAAGGAGTGGTGAAAGCTCCACCACGAAAAGTCTTGCACAAATCATGCGTGATGTGGCCGAGAGGGTCCTTCGGTGGGATCGATTCGCTTGACAACGGAAACTCATATAAATGGGTTCCACACGTTGCACGGTCCTACAAAAAAAAGAAAACCTAAAGCTATACTTTGGCCTATCGGTCAGACCTTTGACAACCAAATCTAACACCTTTGTCGTATGGGAGCCATGCTCCACCTACGGCCCGAGCCCACACACAGTCGGTCTAGACACCAAGCTTTTAATCCTCAGAAGTACCGACTTATAGCACCATAGAAAATCATCTGCACCTTAAATTCGCGCGTCCACACACGCTCTATCCTCATCTCTGCGCATGTCCGTCATTCCGGCTATAAAGAGTCGGCCACCGTAGGCCGCACAATACTAAGTGAAAAACAACATAATAAGTCGCCGTGATGATCGCCCAGCGATTGACTTCGAGCCTAAAAACGCCCTGCACGCCAAACTTTGCCACACTGCCAGCACCACTTTTTTTTTTTTTTTATAGCGTGGTGCCGCAACACGTGTGGTTTGCTCTCTCTTTCTCTCTCTGTATATCTATCTATCTATCTATCTTTTTTTTCTTTCTCTCTCTCTCTCTCTCTCTCTCTCTCTCTCTCTCTCTCTCTCTCTCTCTCTCTCTCTCTCTCTCTCTCTCTCTCTCTCTCTC